AAGTTCAATCTTTATTATTCTCATTCACTGAACGACTTTGCTCACTAAACGTCATCGGTCTCTGAACGACCTTGAACTTTATTTTATGCCTATCATTGTCGTCTATTGAAACTTTGACTATGACAAACTGATCTGAACGGCGAAAAAATCATCGAACTGTAAATTTATATTGGAAAAAATAAACGTGTAATAAAATGAGCAATCGAAAGCCAAAGTCCAAATGTAAACACTGCAGCAGTATTTATACCCTACACAACCATGTTGTTAGGGTATTAAAGCTCTTTGCAACCCCAAGAGTTTATAAGGCCGCGAAATATTGGTCCCTGACCCACATTTATCGACCGTCATTTCTCGTCTGTCCATTATAATTTTTTAACACGATACATGCCACAGATAGGGACGGGTTCTGGCCAAAGAAGACCCAGATTGAAATGGGCCAAAAACTTTATTTTTGTCTATTTTTTGGTCGCTTTAGAGGCGACAATAATGACCAGAACATCAACATTTTATGACCAGAACATTTTTTTAGATTTTGTAGTCTAGAGGCCATTATTATGTGCAAAACATCACACATTTACTCGGCGAAGGGTATCTGACCGAATACTTAGAACGGCTCTTTAGATGATGATCGGTCAATATTCCGAGGATCAAATAAACCAAAATATAAAGCGATCAAAAAATAGATTTGGATAATATGCCAGAGTTGACCAAGATAAGTAAAGTCGGCCGGGGCCGACTATATGATACCCTTCACCACTTTCGGTATATTCAACAGATGGATGCTAACAGACGTCGAATTCTGCAACCTATACTAAATTTTTCATTTGTTCAGATATAGGGTTGCTTCTTACAATGGGACAAAATGACCCAAAATTGGGCGAAAAAATATGTAAGCTCTATCCAAATCCCTACCGATTGCAAAACTTTAGTTTGTTGTGCAAAATTTGTGTCAATTTTGTGTAAAATCGGATGAAAATATATATGTACAAGCTAGATCAAAATCTGAACCGATTTCAATGAGAATGGCAGAGGTTAACTTATATTAATTACAGTTTATTGTACAAAATTGTGTGGCAATCGGACAAACTTTGGGTCTTTAGTGCACAATTTACATAAAATCGGAAGAAAAAATATATAGGAGCTATATATAAATCTGAACCGATTTTCAGGAAACTTTACACATCACTCCAAACTCATTTCAGTACACTATGCCAAATTTTGTGCAAATCCAAATATATATAGGGACTTTGGTACACCATTTAAATTAAATCGGACGAAAATTTATATAGGAGCTATACGTAAATCCAAACCGATTTTCACGAAACTTAACAAGCACTATTCTAGACTTAATTAAATACGCTAAGCCAAATTTCGTGCAAATCAAAAGATATATAGGGACTTTGGTACACCATTTACCTTAAATCGGACGACAATATATATGGGAGTTATATCTAAATCTGAACCGATTTTCAGGAAACTTAACACACACCATTTTAGACCTAATTCATTTCGCTATGCCAAATTTCGGGCAAATCAAATTATATATAGGGACTTTGGTACACCATTTACTTTAAATCGGACGAATATATATATATATATATATATATATATGGGGCTATATCTAAATCTGAACCGATTTTCAGGAAACTTAACACACATCATTCTAGACCTAATTCATTACGCTGTGCCAAATTTCGGGCAAATCGAAAGATATATAGGGACTTTGGTACACCATTTACCTGAAATCGGACGAAGATATATATGGGGCTATATCTAAATCTGAACCGATTTTCAGGAAACTTAACACACATCATTCCAGACCTAATTCATTACGCTATGCCAAATTTCGTGCAAATCGAAAGATATATAATATATATAATTTCAGTAGGGTTCGTCCTTGGGCCGATTAAGTGACCTGTGCCAAATTTCATCCAATTCGGATTATAAATGCGACCAGTACTTTGTTTACAATTTAACATGGACAGACAGACGGACGGACATGCATAAATCGACTCAGAAAGTGATTCTATGCATATTCTCAAAAGGAACCGTGGGTCTATCTCGATTATTTTTGCCTGTTACAAACATTTGCACAAAGACGTAATACCCTGTACCACAGTGTGGTTAAGGGTATAAAAATGTACATACATTACAATGCGCGAACTACCAATTGAACTTAGTGACCATTTGAATTATATATATGTTCATTCCTAATTAGAATTCCAATATACTTTGTTCCATCCAATCTCTTGTGTTGTACATAATAATATTATGTATTTATTTCTAGAGATTATCATCTGGATATCACTCCTGGATATCACTTATAAAACGATGTGTTCAATACAAACAATCACACACATATTACTGTTTCTGGATCTTTTCTCTTTCAAACGCAATTTTTAATACGAAATTTTACTATTTACTTTACACGCGACAATTTTCGAGTGTATTAATTCAAACATTTGAATGAATTAATTCGTTCAACCCAAAATCAAACTAACTAGAATAGAATTGAATGGAAATGTGAATAAACTCCGAAAAAAACATGACAGTCTTTTTTCACTTCTTTCCATTCACCTTAAATATTGTTGTTGTTTTGCGTCTCAGTTAGTTTTGGTCGGGAACGTCGTCAAGACATAGTATTTTAATTGTTAAGAAATGTCTCATTATAGAAAATTGACAAAAAGAAAAGAGGTAGCCAGTTATAATTGAACATATGTATATATATTCGAATATCATCACACTTGACAGAATGACAAACTTTCACTATCACAAAGGAGCTGAACAGCATTTCATAATTTTTTAATTGTCTGATAAGAAGCGGGAATATCGACTTTTCAACCGAATCTGTCGTTCGAACCACAAACCAATATGTGAATATGTTCATATGTGGGTTTGTGTATGTTAGTGTGTGCGTGTGTTTCTTTTGATGTGAAGTGCGTGAATGTTGCGTGCCTCCGTCTGTTCGCTGACGTTATTTAAATTTTAATATCTCTGATAAAAGTCGTAATTAAAGTCATGTTGCATTTAATTGCCATTTTCTCTCCTTGGTTTCGGTCATTTCAATATTATCGCCTCAAAATAGAAATCCTTTCGAAAGCAGTTCGTTGATTACTTCGAACTTTTACAGTTTCTCTTAAATGGACGTGGCTATTAAGTGCATGAACACAGAAAATCGTATGTAATAAATAAAGTGGAAATATGTGTATGTACAGACACTTATGTACGTATGTATATATAGTGAGTTAGTGAATACTATATAATTGTAGTCGTATACATTGAATACATTTGCTTTAACGGTCGTGGCATGTATGACCGGTAATGTCATGTTTTCTTGCTACAAATGATTGAAAACGAAACGGTAAAAATAAAAAAGTTATTAAAATTTTATTATTCAGGAAATTCTGAAACTATAATTTTAAAAATAATTAATATGTGCACATAAATCATCCTCAGTATTTCTATTAATTAAGTTACCCATTCCTCATATAAATTCTTATAAGCTCACTCAAGGTTCATTGGTTGAATTACTGCATTGCAATTATTTTATACTGGTCTATGTTAACTTAATACTTCCTCAAAGTCGAACATATTTGATAACGGGATTCAATTCAGGGCCTCTCCTCCCCATTCTCGGTTTTTGGTTTTATATTTTTATTTCGAACCTACACTAATTTCAAATGAAAATAATTACCACGGGCACGATAACTAAAATCTAACTAAAATCAAATCCGTTCCAAATTTTATGTATGAATTAGTATAATTTATTTTATATGTCCGCCATTTGGTAATATATCCGTTATATGTCCGCCATTTTGTTGCTATGTTAATAAACCTAGTTCATGGAATCGGACGTTCCAGTGATCGGAAATCATGCGCGCAATGTAAAGAAATAATGTTCGTTAATTAAAAAACAAAACAGAAAAAAACAGCAACAAAATTATGCAAATTCATGTTCTTATACTTTAAGTCTTCAAGTAGTTATATACAAAGTTAAAAGCCTTCAATATATAGCACGTCTATGTTCTAGCCGGTTGAAAATCATAAAAATTTAAAATCGAGAATTGGGGCGGGGAACTTGGTTCAAATTAAAATATAACTTCCATATGAAGCACAAAATCTATCCGAATCAACACAAACATTTTGCACATGCTATTGAATTTAGATACAAGATTCATACCGGTTTAGACAAATATATAAACCCAATATTTTCCATGTTGAACACTTCCTCAAATATATTTTTCACGTAGATCATCTAAATATGTCCAAACATTGGCCTAAATTAAAAAAAAAACTGAAACAGTAAATATTTATAAAATTACCACATTACCAAATACCGAAAATGGTGTGGTACCGCTATCCCAAACATCGTAGGAGTAATGTATATTAAATATCTTGAATTGTAAATATCTTGCATTTTATGCAAATTGTGAATATCTGAATTTAGGGATAATAGTTTCGGGTGTATATGTTGTCGGAGGGGACATACCCAATGACTATCGTTTATTTTATTTTCCGACCAGTTATAATTAATTAGGTAATGACTAATTTAAAGTAATTTCTCCCAACTATATATTTCCAAAGCCTTCAGAACTTAATGCAATATACTAATGCAGTGGATAATGTGCGATAACATCAATTTCGTCAAATGTCCTTATTTTAACATTATTTATTAACCAGTGGCTTTGATCTGTAACAATGATATTATTTTTTGCTGGGATTTAATGTACTTTGAAATGACCAAAGCCGAACCAGGACCAAAAAAGGAGAAACAACACAACAACTCTAATGCATAGCTCCACATCGATATAAATTGCTATTGTGTTGATATCCCACTGCAGGCCACCCACAGTTTAAACTGTATATGTTGTTATTGAAGAGCCATTTTCCTTCCGTCCAGGTCATGGTAAATTAACCATATGGAAGTGTCCTGCCTGAAGGGTGTTTTTGTTATTCCCACACACACACACATGCATATCACTTTATACAAGTCCCCATGGCGTTCTATTCAATTTGAAAGTGGAATTGTTTACAGTCTGTTGTTGTCAGTCGGTGAAGAAAGTTGAAAGGTAGAAGGACTCAAGTCTAAGTTGTCGCCGGAGCATAGTCCACACTAACTGAAATGTCTGACGAGGAAAGTGTAAGTGCTGTGGCGTGATAACGCAACCAATGTGGCAATCAACCAACATAAATTGTAATTAAAAGAGTCCACAAACTAACAAAGAATGTGATTATCCATTTGCCAGATGCCAACATAGACTAATTACTTTTAACACGCAAGCATTTTTTTTTGTACTTTGTTGACCCAAATACAAAGGAGAACGAAACGTGTCATCATTTGTCGACACCAAGGGCAACAATTTGAATTGAAATAATATGAAAGTGATGAGATTAAAATTAAATTTCCATATATAAATTTCATATACATATGAATATGCAAAACTTCTGATATAGAGAAAATTTAATTTTAATATAATAATAATTAGATGTAGAAAATAATATATAAATGAAATGTTCTCCTACCTGTACTTATAACAAGTGACGAGAGCTCGTGCTATATGAAGGTTCGAAAATTTGGCTTACAACCTACGATTAACTGATAAATTTACGGACGTGCCGACTATATGAGACCATTAGGTATATTTTAATGCATAATAAACACATATATGGGCAATATTGCCAATTTTTTAACATAGCTGAAGCGGAGGATCACCCCTTTATAACTCGGGAATTACTTACGTATATGAAAAGAAGTGATAAAGGTAAAAGATATTGACCTCCAAACTTAATTTGGGTGGAAGCTGTGTCTACTTTAATGTAAACAAATGTGTAAAAACAGGTTGAGATGAACCAGCTTTTTATGTTCTCTATCGACTTCTGACTAAGCTAGTCTTTCTACTGCATCTACCTTTAAATGATGCTGACATTTTGAAGCTCGATTTTGAGTGTTTTTTTTTTAATTCTACTTCTCGCTTTAATAGGCAAACAGGATTTTCTAAACATCGAATATAAGATTATTGTAGTCGCGAATCTGAGTAATTTGATATATATTTTGTGTATTTAGTATGCACAGCTTCAGAGTAATACTCATCCGAAGGTGAAAATTTTGTGCGATTAAATGTCTAAAAAACTTATTTTTCGGGCCAAATTTTTAGATCTTTCAACTGAATGATATTTCAAAAAACTCTAAACTGTGAATAAAAATAACTTGGCGGGTAATGTGGACCAGTATGTGTGGGTAATGAGGATCAGTATGTTTGAGGTAGGTTGTGGATTGGTTGTGATAAACTTCGATTTATTGAACTCTTGGGCAACACTGAATGCAAAAATATATGGGTTTATGTTTTGGAATAGCCCCTATTTAAGGGTACCACACCATTTGCGTTATTTTGAAGGCCCTGGCTTCATTATCCAACTGAAGCACCTGTAATTTCGCATATCGAGTTATCAGATGCTAGAATACCTCTTCGCATATTAAATACGCCCATGTTTCGAACTCGTCCTCATAAAAAGGTCCCAATTTTTATAGTGGTCCACATTACCCGACATTGAATATTTTTATTTAAAAATAATTATCGGCTTCAAAAATGAATAAAAATTAAAAATCACCGATTGTAATTACAGCTAAACGTATATTTTTGTTAAAGAAAATAAGAAAAAACACATAACTTCTTTATACTCGAGAAAAAAAATGTTCGACTAACTTGCAAAATCGTTCGACTGTTGTCCAAATCACACTTTTACAATCAGAACTAAATTTTCTACTACTAAATTTTCAACATTGCAATAATTTGTTAAAAACCAAGTTTGATGTTTGTTTCCACTAATTAGGAAAAAATTTATAAAGGCAGCATTGACATATTTCAAGCATTTTAGCATTTAGTTACTCTAAGGTTCTTTACGATTCTGATGATATAAAATCTATTTCGTGAAAATCCATCTACTAGAACGGCGGGAACTGGCCTTCCAAAAACACGAAATTTGGCAAAAATATTTTTGAAAATATCGCGGATTTAATTGCATTTTCAGTGAATCATTTCCGCTTCAATAAATTACCTGATACGGATTTTGATCTTTTTCGAAAACAGAACTTTAAAAAGAGAGATATATGCACCTAATTTATCTCAAAACCAGTAAGGAAAGGGGTAAAGTCGTACGGGGCCGACTATATGATACCCTTCACCACTTTGGGTAAATTCAACAGATGAAACTTAACAGACGTCGCATTTTTGATTTTCACGAAACTTAACACACACCATTCTAGACTTTATTCAGTACGCTGTACCAAATTTCGTGGAAATCAAAAGGTATACAGAGACTTTGGTACACCATTTTCCTAAATCGGACGAAAATATATATGGGAGTTATATCTAAATCTGAACCGATTTTCACGAAACTTAGCACACATCATTCAGTACGCTGTGCCAAATTTCGTGCAAATCGAAAGATATTTAGGGACATTGGTGCACCATTTACCTTAAATCGGACGAAAAAAATAGGGTTCGTCCTTGGACCAAATAAGTGACGTATGCCAAATTTCATCCAATTCGGATAATAAATGCGACCTGTACTTTGTTTACAATTTAACATGAACAGACAGACGGACGGACTGACGGACATGCATTAATCGACTTAAAAAGAGATTATATGCATATTCTCAAAAGGAACCATGGGTCTATCTTGATTCCTTTTGCCTGTTACAAACATATGCAGAAAGACATAATACCCTGTACCACAGTGTGGTGAAGGGTATAAAAAACCAAATTACAAAGAATTTGGTTGAAAAACGCGCTCAAGAACCCCGAAATACCGAAAATTGGGGGGGGGCCTTATATGGGGGGTACCCTTATATGGGAGCTATGCCTAAACGTGGACCGATTTTCTCCAATTTCAATATGGTTCGTCCTTGGGCCAATTAAGTGACCTGTGCCAAATTTCATCAAAATCGGATCATAAATGCGACCTGTACTTTGTTAACAAAAATACATGGACGGACGGACAGACGGACATGCATAAATCGACTCAGAAAGCAACCATGGGTCTATCTCGATTATTTTTGTCTGTTACAAACATATGCACAAAGACATAATACCCTGCACCACAGTGTGGTGAAGGGTATAAATAGAGTGAGCTGGGTCATCCATGGTTCTTAATGGACCGCATTGAAATCGGTATAGATCGGTGTATTCTGTTTGTACTTACCAATAACCACATAACTCTTGTAATCGAATATTCAGTAACGGACATTGGGTGGTAAGAGGGTTACTACATATATTTTTGGTATTTAAGATATATTGATTTATTTAATGTTTCGTATCATTGTACCAACTATGCTCGAAATTGTCCGTTAACGCGCACATCGTTTAAATATTGATAAGCAAAAAGTAATGAAGTCTTGCATTGATTTTAGCACCTCCAATCAACTATTTAACTATCAAATTATGTTTATGACACGATCCCAACCTAGGCGAGATCGTCTATTTTTATTCGAGGTATTACAAAACTGTTGTTTATTATGATATAATTAAACAATCTTTACTTGACGAGCTTTACATAGCTGTTCATTATTTTATGAATAAAACTAAAGTTGACAATAGCATCCTCTTAACTATGTCGATATATATAAACCTTATGAAACATTAGCCCCATAAATTGTTCTATACAATTTATTTGTTATCTCCACCTTTAGCGGAAATGTCATAATGTCGATTTCGGAAAGAAAAAAAAACGCTATAAAATTCCTGTTGAATGTTGAAAAACATAAAATGAAATTGACAGTGAGAGGGAAAAGCTAATGTTTTATTTGCCATTTGTTATCTCCACCCTTGGCCGAAATGTCGTAACGATTTCGGGTACTTGGGCTACTAATTAAAACATTTCTCTCTTTTTGTTTCAGAATAAAACCAAAAATCTCTATTCACATGAAGCGAAACTCATTAACAAATCGCAACGGGAATTGACCGATGGTACTGAAAAGGACCCATTAACCAAATTGCGTTTATTATGCTTTAGTCGTGGAGCAACTGGCATCTCAGGCCTTGGCAGGTATTTGTCGTGTGCTTACCATAAAATTGAGATAAATTTTTTAATACTTTTTCATGTCATTACGTGTTTTCGTTCCTTGAATAATTATTATGATGGCAGGGCTTTTCGCAACATGGACGATGACGGCAGCAAGGCATTGAACGAAGAGGAATTCGTCAAAGGTATACGTGATTTTGGTCTTGACTTGAGTACCGCAGAATTGCAAGAGCTGTTCCACCAGTAAGTAAAGCAACAATAAGTTGTGGCGCCACTGAAATGAATAACGTTAATTTGAACACCATGCTTATATTGCAGGTTCGACGAGGATGGCAGTGGCTCCATCAATATGACAGAGTTCCTGTTAAAGTTACGGGTAGGTATATAATTGAGGTGATGACCCTGCTGATGAATATATAACGATACATCCCGTTCGGTCCGTTTCATTTGGTACACATTCTGTGTACTTGATTGCATGATTTGTTTGATCAAATTTCTTATTTGTTTCCCTGACGGGCGAGCTTTACTAAATATTTGCCATTTGAAATAGCCACCCATGCCGCAGTGCCGTCTAGACATCATTGATCAAGCCTTTGAAAAAATGGATGCAGATAACGATGGTGTCATTACAGTGAATGACTTGAAAAATGTTTACTCAGTGAAGGAGCATCCCAAGTACCAAACAGGCGAAATGTCTGAAGATGAATTACTTACGGAGTACTTGAATAATTTCGAAGGAGGACGTGGCAATAATGATGGTGTAGTGAGTAAACTTGTTTTTAGTTGAATTAAATATGCCATAGACAGTGGAATATTTGCAAAAAAAAAAAAAATGTTGTGATGAAGTGGAAAATTCAAAAAAAAAATTAATAAAGTCCATCAAAGAACAACAATTTTTACAACAACCTATAACAAAATAGGTTTTATATAAAATAAGTTTCTTTGATTACAAATATTACAGAACTGACAATTCCACTGTCTGATGTATAATTTGTCCATAAAAATGCTAATAGCAATAATATATTTCTACACAGATAACCAAGGAGGAGTTTATAAATTACTATGCCACAATAAGTGCATCCATTGATAACAACATGTACTTCGACTTGATGATGCGGCGCGCCTTTGCCCTGTGAATATAGCTGCAAAAGTTATTTGTATTATTTGACTAGTACTATTCGTGGCACATTACTTCAGCAAAACGTTGTCATTACTAATTAATATAATTACATATGCATGTAATTTTTTCAATTTGATTATTAAATAAATAGTTTAACTTATTACTTGGAATCAAATGATGGAGGTTAATATATTAACATTCACTTACAGAGAATCTATTTGTAACAAGAGTATATCATAAATTAGTATGATGAAAAATAATACTCCATTCTTTAATAACATGACTACTGACTAAAAAACATTTACTTTACTAAAAACAAAAATTTTCAACGATATTTGTTGCATTGTCTACACAATAACACCTGACCATAATGACACCTGTTCACGTTGGATTTCGCACAATTTTTTAGGGCTCGTGTCGATTGCTGAAAATATTTTTTTGAAAAAATACGATCGCGTTGCTTTAACTACGAAGAATCCGAGTCATGGATCTGCGGGTATGAGCCCGAAACAAAACAGCAAACAACAGTATGGGTCTTCGAAAGTTGTTAGTGGACGTAGCACTTCTCAACATAGGATGGTCAATTGTGAGTGGAATACTCCATTTTGTATGCATAAAGTAAAGTAAAAATACGAACAAGAGTAAACAAATCATTTTGTTCTATGAAAATGCGAGCTCTCACAAATCTGCACAAACCACAAAATGCCATTGAAGTGATCAAAAGCCATAATTTAGTGGTATCTCAATAGTCATGCTGGATAATGCTTAAAATAACAATTTTTTATAGTTGTATCTATGTCTGCGTAGTCCATGAGTCGGGTCGTAAAATTTTATAGTCCATATATATCCAATGCCACCGTGAAAAAAGATGTGGGAGGTTGGATTATAAAGTGCTTGTAAAAATGAAAGGCCTATGTAAACCCAGAAGGACAAATTTGCCATAGGCCAAGTTTTATGAAGAAAGAGCTTTATATATTTCTTTGCGGTTATTGCTGGGTGTTTTTCCGTCAAATTGAATGAGGAAACTTGTTGTAAAACATAACATCTTTCTATATCCGGCCTTGTGCATCTTACATTCTTGAGCCTTATTTTTGGACCTCCAAATTTTGTAAAAAAAATAATTTGATCCTCCTTTTTCAGTTTAACCCGATGCTTGTTCAGAAAACGCAAACGAATTTCGAACAAATTTTGCAATCAGTTAGGAGATATGATGTCTATTGTATTATGAGAAAATAGAAAGGATAGCAAAATGTCATGGAGAAGAAATTTTAGGTTTGCCATGTCAGAGGATAAACAAAGTTAAACATTTTTATGGGATCAATTCCGTTGAAAAATGTCAGAGTATCAATCTCATATCTAAAAACGTTGGAATTTTTTCCGCTAATGGACATCTACAGAGTATATGTTAAGTTGTTACAGTCTCTTCCACATTCTCACATAAACGGCAAGAATTCTGTCCATTCCCATTTGGAAGTGAGTGATCGAATCCTGTGGTGACCTGTTATGATTCCTACACTGATGTTGATATCAATTCGAAATCCTACGTCCAGGCTCAGGCCCATGAAGTAGACATGAAGTAGATATTATTGCAGACCAAATATTTAAAAATGGTTGAATGATTTTAAATATCGGCTATAACATCTCCAACTTTTAATCTCCTTTACACCTCCTACGTATTTTGCATATCCTTTCTAAATCACAACAAGGGTATGTTTTTTTAAGAAAATTTTCATAATACATGAATTTTAATGGCAATGCATACGAGACATATCATTATTTTAGATTAACTTTAAAAAACAAAACAATAAAATTTCACAGGGAGAAACAGGTATTGTCAAGTTTGCAGATATGAATATGTTTTGAAATAAAAAATAATTGTTGAATTTGATAATTACAAGAAGCACAAATCAATCTCAACATATTTCCTGTGGTTGTATTTTTTTTTTTTTCATACGCCCATATAAAATAATGTTATTTTAGTTCAAAATCATTAATACAGTTGTCTAGAAAAAAAGTACAATGTTACGGCATCTTTCTTCCTTGTGAATATTCCTGCTAACAACATCAACTTACTGTTAAAACTTTTAATTGACTATATTTATGCCAAAGCTTTAAACAAGTTATGCACATAACTACCATTTATATACACATGTATGTACATCAATGCACTGGTATGTGTGTCTCTTTTGTTTTTATTTTGTTCATCACACTCTAAAGTTGTATAATTTTAAGTTCGTGAAAAAGCACATTTTTCATGTTGTCAAAAAAATAAAAAAAATATATAAAGTGAACAAGACTAAATAAATTTCTTTGTTTCAAACGGTTGTGTACATTTTTTTGTTGCGTTGTGTTTCATTTTTGTGATTGTGCTGCCATTGTTGTTGGTGTTGTTACTGCTGCTGCTGATGTTGAGTGAATGATAAAATAGCGCAAACTTTCAGATGTGAGTGTAGTAGTACTTCGTCGCAGTTGGATACAATTTTTAATTAGTAAACTTTTGCACTTTTGTTTGCAATTTTCCAGTTATATCTATGCACACTTCGCTATAGACAGCCTCAGTTATGCATAGAATAGATATTGATAACAACTTTCGTGAGTGTTATGAGGACAATTGTGTAGGTCTACCATGCAGTTTTGAAATTAATTTTAATATTATTTTATTGTTCATTGGTTTCACAAGTAGATCGATGCGCAGTATACCAAATGATTTTAATGTGATAGATTTTTGCAACAAACCAGTAAGGAAAGTTCAAATGTCGGACGGGGCCGACTATATGACACCCTTCACCAATTTGGGTACATGCAAGACACGTTAATATCTACAAATCCTGTTGATAGAACGGTCATATAATCTTTGGAGGACCATTGAGATGGAATCGGGCGAAAGTAAATGTACTATCTAGATAGATATTTGAAGCAATTGAAAACCTCATACACATACCATTCTGAAATCAATGAAGAATTGCATGTCAAACGGACAGACTTGGATTCTATGGTATACCATTTGTATGAAATCGAGTCAAATTATGTTGGGAACTATATATAAACACATGGACCTAATTGAGCAACCGTTGCATACACCATTTGTTTCTTGTAATCACTATATACAATTCAATACCCTCTGCCAAATTTCGTGTAACCACCATTTACATAAAATCGAACGAAAATAAATATAAGACCTATATCAAAATCTGAACCGATTTCAACAAACCTCATCACGCATCATTTTTTCTCAATAGCATTCGCTATGCAAAATTTTACTCAATCAGAAAAAATATTGGAAGTTTGGTGTATCATTCACATAAAAATCGGACGAAACAATATTTTGGAGCTATATCTAAATTTGAACCTATTTAAAAAAAAAAAAAACTTCGCAGACATCAGTCTGGATCTAATGCAGTACTCTATGCAAAATGTTGTCCCAATCGGAGAAATATTGAGAGTTTGGTGTATCATTCACAAAAAATCGGACGAAACTATATATGGGAGCTATATCTAAATCTGAACCGATTTTGACAAAACTTCGTAGACATCAGTCTGGACCTAATTCAGTACTCTGTGCAAAATTTTGTGCCAATTGGACAAATATTGGGAGTATGGTGCATCATTCACATAAAATCGAACGACTCTATATATGGGAGCTATATCTAAATCTGAACTGATGCCAACAATACTCCGCACACATAAGCGTGGACCAGATTCAGTGCGCTGTGCAAAATGTTGTCCCAGTCGGACAAATGTTGGGAGTTTGGTGCATTATTTACATAAAAACGGGCGAAACTATATGGGAGCTATATCTAAATCTGAACCGATTTTCTCCAATTTCAATAGGGTATGTCCTTGGGCCAAATAAGTGAACTGTGCCAAATTCCATCCAAATCGGATCATAAATGCGACCTGTACATTGTTAACAAAAATACATGGACGGACGGACAGTCAGACGGACATGCGTAAATCGACTAAGAAAGTGATTCTATGCATATTCTCAAAAGGAACCACGGATTAGTTGTTCAGTTATACATGGGTATTTTTATACCCTTTAGCACACTGTGGTACAATACCCTGTACCTGTCGTTGTGCATATGTTTGTAACAGGCAAAAGGAATCGAGATAGACTCATGGTTCCTTTCGAGAATATGCATAGAATCATTTAAGATTTGCACGAATTTTGGCATAGCGTACTGAATTATGTGTAGAATGACAAGTGCTAAGTTTCGAGAAAATCGGTTCAGATTTTGATATAGCTCCCATACATAGATTCGCCAGATTTCAGGTAAATAGTGCAACAAAGTCCCTGCAAATCGTTTGATTTGCACGAATTTTGACATAGCGCACTGAATTAAGTCTAGAATGATCCCATATATAGTTTCGCCCGATTTAAGGTAAACGGTACAACAAAGCCCCTGAAAATCTTTTGATTTGCACGAATTTTGGCACAGCGTACTTAATTAGATCTAGAATAGTGTGTGCTATATTTTGTGAAAATCGGTTTAGATTTACATACACCTCCTATATATATTTTTGTCCGATTTTAAGTTACTGGTGCACCGAAGTCACCAAATTTGATATAGCGTACTGAATTAAGTCTAGAATGATGTGTTCAAAGTTTCGTGAAAATCGGTTCGAATTTACATACACCTCCTATATATATTTTCGACCGATTTTAAGTTAACGGTGCAGTAAAGATACATAGCTAGGCCGATTGACACAACGTACTGAAGTTAATATAAATCTCTGGCAAGTTTCCTTCCAATCGGTTCAGATATATATATATAGTATAGCTTCCATATATAATTTCGACTTATTCATCTTAATTGTACACCAGATAATCAATGGGTGTCTGCGTGAGATTAAATTTGAAACAGTTTGCTTTAAATCGATTTGCTAAATTTAACATAAGTTGCAAAATGACATGTGTACGGATTGATGTTAGTCGGTTTACATATAGTTAGAGATCACATACTAAAGTTCGTCCAATTTCATGTCACTTTTCCTTCGAAAAGGTGGCGTCTTTTA